TAAAGAATCGTTGAGGCTGCTTTTAAAAGCAAAAGGATTTTACTGGCGTAAATGCCACAACAAAAGGAAATTACTAATGGAAAGACCCAGTATTTTACATTGGCGATACAAGTATCTTAGGTCTATTAAAAAGTTCCGGGAAGAAGGAAGGCATATTATTTATTTGGACGAAACTTGGGTTGATAATGACCTCACTTTCAAGAAATGCTGGCAAAGCGAAGAAATTATGGGTGTCCTGAGCAATATAAGTTCTACAGGTAATAAAGTTTCTTTCACCTCGATTTTGCTTATTATACATTTTTCTCAATTTTGGAATATTCTTAATAAGTGCTCATTTAATTTGTCTAATTGAATACATAATCCCTTGCAAGTATTTTTTTCTCAAAAATATGTTTTTTATACATAGTGATTCAAAAAGGTGTTGGCAAACTTAAAATAACACTAAAATGAGGCTATTTATTCATTTCCAGGACGACTTATAATTGTTCATGCGGGTTCGCAAGATGGTTTTGTTCCTGGAGCCTGTCTCATTTTCAAGGCTGGCTGTGCCACTGGTGATTATCACGGTCAAATGAACCAAGAAAATTTCACGAAGTGGCTTACTGAAAAACTATTTCCTAACATTCCTCCTAATAGTATTATAATAATGGATAATGCACCTTACCATTCAGCTTTGGAAGACAAGCCTCCAACTAGATCTTCTCTAAAAAGAGACATCATCACGTGGTTGAGCAAAAAAGGTATAGAGCATGATCCTAATGCTAAAAAAATGGAGCTTTATGAAATAGCTTGTCTACATAGGCCACCATCTGATGAGAAAAATTATAAGATAGATAATTTAATAAGAAGTTTCGGACACACCCCACTTCGAACGCCACCCTATATGTGTCAGTTTAATCCCATAGAGATGATTTGGGCACAAGTAAAATTTTTCATTAGAAGCCATAATACAAGCGGCGAATTTACTATAAAAAAACTAGATGAAATTTCTAATAAGGCCATCGCTTCAGTAAGTGCCAGTGACTGGCAAAAGGTTATTGGACATGTTATAAAAATTGAAGATGAATATTGGGAAAAAGACAGTCTCATTCAAGAAATACAGGAAGAAATAATAATCAACATAGGAGGTGAAAGTGATAGCAATGACAGTTCCTCAGACAGTGATCATGACTCTAATCAGGATTGAAACTATACTAGATTGGCTACCTTTTAGAATTTTTAGATATTCATTTATTATACTATTGGTTTGTGGCTTTTAGTATCTCAGTAGAAAGTCTAATTCTATGTGTTGTTTATGGGTTATTTCATCAAGAAATTACTTTTTGTTTTCCTATATTTTTCTATTCAGTCAGATATTTTTGACTTGTTGTATTCTATTTTAGAAGAATGCATAATTTGTTTTGCTGTTCAATCATAATGCGTACATAGGAATATTACTTGTTGCCTAAAAAATATATTTATTTTGTTCTCAATATTCAGTGTTTGTGTATATTTATTTCTTATAATGTATGTTTGGTATCACGTCATTATGAATCGCAAAAAAATATTAATACTACCAGTTGTAATAAAATATAAATTCAATTAATAATTCAAGTCTCTCCGATCTCCGCCTATGACTCCATATAAAATCGTCTAATGGTAAGGTTTTTTCATCGCATTTCCCCCTTTCGTCCCTAGCAATCTTTGGCTGGTCGATCAATATATATATATATAAGCACATGGACAAGACTTCTTATTTCAAAGCTATAATAAAACACACTGAGACAGAGAACATATATTCAATTAAAAGTGTTACTACACTGCACTTACATTGAAAACATAAGTTAAGGTTACTTTAATTTGTGTATTGATTTGTTCCAACCTTTGCTTTTAAAATACATGCAGTGGAGCGACAATTTTATTTTTATATATATTTTGTATTATACAGTGTTTTAATATGGATTTCAAGTAGAAAAGTGTTGAAACCAAAAGGAAAAATGTTTAAAATACATATGTTCTAGAATATTTAAGCGCAAATATTTCATAGATGTCGTCAACTTGAAAACTGAATTAATTTCAGGGTCAAAAACCCTGCTCATAATGAAATGTGAGCCTTGTTTCAATATACCATAGATTAAAAATGAGTGAAACAAATGCTATTCACATGGAAATATTGTAGAATTTGAAACTTCCCAATCATATAATTTAAACAAATATCAACTCTCTAGAGTGAAAAAAGTCTAGTGTACAGTGTCACACCAAGAAGCTCCACACTAAAAAAAAAAAAAATGATAAATGGGGGCTCTAAAAATGTTCATATTTTTGCTAGAAGCTTAGAACATCCTGCATGTGAGCCTTAAGGATGCTCAAGTACAGCCCAGTCTTCTACAAATCAACTGTCAAATTTTACCCCCTTAAAAACTTTCAGAATGACTAGCTTATAGATCATTTTCATAGGATGCCACCATCTGCCTTCCTATTGGTTGGAGGACAAACACAAATGATTTGCCATTTAGTTCAATGTAAATAAGTTCCACTATTTTTGCTTACTCATATATTCGTTAAATCCTTGGTGAACAATGTTGCTGTTATTCTGTTACTTGGGAAGAACTATTTAAATGCCTTCTTTTGTGGGGTGGTGGATTGTTTAATCATTTAAACAACCAGATAAAGGAAGGCATTTCATAGTTGTTATTCATTTATAATTTACAATTTTCAACAGATATGGACAATTCACACGAAGGAATCATGAAATACAAGCAAAAATAGTGGAGCTAATTTACATTGGATTTAATGGCAATCCATTTGAGTTTGTCCACCAACCAATAGGAGGGCCTATCAAAGTGACGTGTTTGGAAATGATCTATACTACCATACTTAGGTAAAAGGCAGTCAAGTTAAATGTTAACGCCAATACATTTCTTTAATAATTAGTTTTACAAAATATATCGTTGAGCATGTTATTTAACAAATATACTTATTTTTCAACTTGGTCAAATAACTCATATTAATTACATTTCCTAAACCTAAAAGCAGCAAAGCAATTTAACAAAGTAAAAAGCAGTAGTTTTAAGACCATACTGCTTTTATTCTCTGTATGATACAATTACTGCCTTTTTACCCTTTATGTCCAATTATCATGGTACTTATCAGTTTTTTTTATATAATAATTCTATTATTTTGAATAATATACTTCCTTTAACTTAACATCTCATGTCCATTTTTCAACAGCCTTTCTGGAAGTGTATTCTTAATACTTTTTGTCTGATTCTTCTATGGAGTGTATGCAGATGACAATGTTATCAGTTTCATTTTCCAAAAAAAAATTTTTCTTCAATTCTTCAAGTTAACAAATCTAACAGCTCTAAAATTGTATGTGAATATTCCATCATCACAGAAGAATTGAGCAGGTGCTTACTTTTTTCTTACGACTTTCTTTCTTCCTAAAATGTTTGCTTTTCTTGAAAACTTAATTTGCTGCAAAATGGCATTTCAAGAAAAAAAAAATAAAGTAATCATCCACTCAATTCTACTATAAAGGTGAAATTTTGACATACAATTTCATACAATAAGGGCAAAATGCACAAAAAATTAATTATTGCCAAAAAATATTGATAACACTTTTTAGTCACACACCATGCAATATTCAGATGAAAAGGATTTAGAATTCTGCTTCATTCATTATAAAATCGTATTATTAGATGTCGAAAAGATTTACTTTTATGCTATTTATGTGAATTTCAATATAAATTATCTTAAAATAAAATAAAATGCTGTATTGATGCATTCTGCTTTGGAAATAATAGATTTTGGAAACCAGATAAAAAGGCAGTAAACTTGTTTTTGCAGAGTATAAAAGCAGTACATCACTTGTTACTGCTTTTTGACTTGTGACGAAGATGGAATTATTTCTATTCGTCATTGTCTGTCAGAGTGGTCCATAGTATCTTTGCTCTTGGTTAAAGTTTTGTAAGTCAGGTCTGTCAGGTTTGGTTGCCCAGATACCAGATTTTGTGTTGATTCCAAAATTAATTTAGAAATAGGTTGAAGAGAAACTATAATTTTGGTTGGACATAAAGTCGCAAGATTTAATTTTGTTCACAGTGCGAGCCGCGGCCGTGTGTGCTTGCGAACTAGCTAGACTGTGTAGTCTAATGACTCGCGCCACAAAGGGGTGCGATGCGATTCCGTTTGACTATAACGTAGCTGCATTTGTTGTTTGATGTAGTCCTTTAGGTAAGAGATGTCAAGGTCTCTGTGAGACATACCTTGGAGTGTTAGTGATTGCACGCAAGGTTGTGTTCTGCAAAAGCTGCAGGCTATGCAAATGCCCTTTGGCGGAAAAATACCAAGCTGCACTTGCGTAAGTGATTGCTGGTCTAATAACCATCGTGTATAGCCAAACTTTGTTGATCAAACTTAATTTTGAGGTTCTACATAGCATAGGGTAAAGTTGCAGAAACAAGATTTGGAATTTAGTTTTTAATGCTTCAGTGTGCTTCTGCCAGGTCATCCCCTTATCAAGAGTGACTTAGCATGACTTTCCCATAGTAGGATTTATTTTAAAGCTCATCAACAATAATTATGATCTGATTCAGATTTAAACGACTATAAATTCATGCACCTTTGCAATATTCATTCACTTTGTTGTGTCATAATAATAATAATACTATTTATTTAGTCTGAAAAAAAATCCAGAATTTTGAACTATTTTCTAAGAGTTCGATTTTTACACTTTACTACTTTTTTCTAAGTAGTTACAGTAGTATAGGTAACAGGCAAGTATAAAATTCAAGTATCAGTAAATGCACATGCATTTATACACGGAAGAATAACAGATTTATTTGAATTTTAGTAGTGAATAAAGGCCTGTTTATGACTATACTACATACTGATATCTAATAAAAATATGTAGGGTATTGTCCTTGTTATCTTGTTTATTTCATATATTCATTGACTCTACATAATAGATACTAATAGACACAAGTATTCTAATTTTTGTACTTTCTAATAGCACCTACTTCCACATCCGTTAGCAAACTCTCTCTTATTGGAAAGCTGCACAATAAACGCCTAAATCGTCAGTACAGAATCAAGTCATCCTGCACAAAGCACATTAACAAACTTCCGACGGTCAAACACTAAACAAAAACAACTGATAGTGGAAAACAATCGATTTTCCGTATCCACGTCCACAGTAATAGAAGGAAACGTCGCAAGTACAATGCACAGGAAAGAGAGTACAAGAGCACTCGAGGATGCCTGAATACGAAACGGCAACGTCTCCTTAGAATTCAGAACCATTCACGATTTCCAACATTCTTTCCCCCTTCACCGCGCGTCCCCCGCGACTACTAAAGTATCCAGCCCTACCACATTCCTGAGAGATCACATCAATGACCGAGCACCGGGACAAAAAAAGATAAATAAAGGACGGAGATATACGTATCCTGCCTCCCAGACGAATTCTTGGAAAAACACCGGTACCCAACGAACTTCAAAGAAAATCAATTTTTCCACGCATGCACTATTGTTTATGGAAAATATTGTTCTGTAAACGCTTATCACGGGTTTAATAACCAGCAAAGTCTAAAGTAGAACACAAGGCTACGACATATGGCTGCTTTTTTTAGCGAAGAATTTTCAGCTGAATACGGCTATCGTGTCGTTTCTACGTGCTATACTAACCTTGAATGCGTTGTTCTTAGTGGGATGTTGAATCTTCGCCCATTTTAAACGGGATATTTGGTATTTTACTAAGAATTTTCAAGAAAAATAAACCACAGTTCACGGTTTCAGTCGACAGAGAACAGACTCGACTGGCTTCACTTTTCGCTCCAATCAGCAGACGGCCGACGGTCGGACATACTGCAAAAGGGGCAACGTTGCCACATACTCGCTGCTATTAAAACATGGAAATACCAGCAAAATATTTACAGCAGATGAATCAGAAATCGATTATACAAGCTATTTATCAACAAATTTTATTGACGTTGAGGAATAAATCAGCATAATGAGTGGGCTGTGACAGTTTGATATGCATAAAAATAATATCCTCTGGCATCTCTCATGTTATTTAATAGTTCCATAATAGGTATCCTCTAATGAGAAAAATATGTACCAATTGCCCATTCGGGTTGTACAAATAAACAACTTAATTACATTTCTGTGTCCATCTCAAAAACTTTCATCCCATCGACGTCCATTATAAATTATTTCGAATGCAAGCTTTGAATGCGTCATATGGCATTCAGTTTCCTCTCTACCAGTCAGCTTTTATGATAAGATTGAAGGAGGCACTTTATTTTTCAGAAAAATCCCTCAAATACAGGATTTCCATATCGTGAGAAAGTCCCCGTATAGAGTAATTCCGTATAGATGTGGCAATCAAGAGCATAAAGCGCAAACTCCAAATGAAAAGGATCCGACACCAGACTATTTCGAAACGAAAAAAGAATGTAAAATGGTAAAAGTACAGTTATAGTTTCTATTATAGTACATAATAGTTTAATCTCGGCACTCTTTGTAGCCATGCTTCTCAACACGCCTACTTAGAAAATGCCAGATGAAAATCTGGTTATATAGGTAGGTACCTAGTAGACAATCCAAAAGGATGTGGAGGAATGTTTTTCATCATACCTAAATAGTTACGTATATCTATAGGTACACAAATAATGAATAAATAATCATTGGAAACGATTTCCCTGAACAAACTTTGAACCGCCAAAAAACTGTATTTTAATTATTTAGTCCTGTTATTTATTATGGGGAGAAATAATGCAGAGGCCTTTCAGACCAAAAACAAATTATCTAAATAAAAACATCAATAAACAGGGCAGCACCAAAAAAACTCATTTTTCGTCCAATAAAATATAACTTTCTATGGCGGGAAATTCAAACCTATATTATTAAGGACTACCTGATATTTGTTTCATAACAAAAGCTGGATACAGATATTATCTTGCTTCAACTACACTACACAAAAACCAGCCAAATTAGGTGAGTAAAGAGTACGTACACTACGCAATACACACCGTTTTTAATTAATGAAAAATCAGCAAGGCGAAACTGAAAATTTACATTATAGGAGGCATGCGTCATCGATTTAGCACGTGTAGGCGTCATAGCGTAGGAGCTGATGGGTGGTGCTGTAATGTATGCTTGGCAAGTTTCCGAGAAACGTATGTATGTATGTATGTATACATAATACATATTGCGAAATGGTGCCATATATATATACATACGAGTATATATATATAATATATATATATATAAGGTGAGGACGGAATATTACTTATAAACAAATACATTTTGGGAAAATCTATTTATGGTATGTTATATATGACATTTGAGGGAACATTTCTAAAATATTGGCAATTATACAGGGTGTCCCAATTTTGACCTACATATCAAAGTTGTGATTTTTTAAATTAAATGCCTCAAATTTTATTGCATATTTGGATAAACCAATTCAAAAGAAGAAGATTGATATAACATACTATGGGCTTTGGTAATTAGCTACTGAGATGTAAGGTGTTTTGTCCAGAAAAACCGTCCACTTCGGCAACCCCTCAATCCGCCCTTTTGAAATTTGGAGTGCTGAACTTTGTATCAAAAAAAAACTCAGTTTTTATCGTATTTGTTACTTTTTCGAATTTTCATTTTTGCTTATACAGGATGGTCAAAAACGTGAATTATACTTTTTTTCAAAAATTTCAAGTGCATCACCCTGTATATTTGTGCAAGTTTGGATTCAATTTTTTAAAAGCTTTTTTCGGTATAAGGTTTGATTCAGATAAAATCACTAGATTTTGAGTTATTAAGCTTTTAATAGAACAACACACCAAAATTAAGGAAAAAAATCATCCATGGAAACAAAAGATAAACAGTGGGCTAGTTCCATATTGCCACTAAGAGTTCAAATTTGATTTAAAAACTAATAACAATCAGAACAGTATAAATCTGTTTCAAGCGTAATAGAGAAAAAGAACTATAACAACAACATAAACAAACAACTATCACTACTCAAGACCTAATCTACAAAAACTGCTCGAAAATATCTCCCCTATGTTGAATACACAGCCGTAGTCTTTGGATAAATGACCGTTGCACATACCTCGGCATATGTTTCCTTATGTTCAGAAAACCATCCTTAATCCTTTCCTTCATATTTTCCGGGGTAGATGCCTCTTGCCTAACGTGGCCCATCACGACCGATCCAACGATTGTTACTCCAGGTGTCCAAATAGTTACGCACACGTTTAAGATAATGCGCAGGTGCTCCGTCATGTTGAAAGTACATATGCATCAGAGTTTGCAGGTTGACATTCTCAAAAGCAAAGGCAAATGCTCGATCAAAAAATTCAAGTATTCTGTACCAGTTAATCTGTTGCAAAAGAAAGGTCCGATAACTTGTCTGCCAATAACACCTCCACAAACATGCAAGCTCCATTTATTTTGGAAATCTATTTGCCTAACCCAGAAAGGGTTTTCCGTCGCATACTCATAGTGCATGTTATGCCTGTCGATAACACCCATGCTGTTAAAAGTTGCCTCATCGTTAAAAAGAACCTTATCCAGGAAAGTAGTGTCTTCACCCACTTTATTTAGCATTATTCTACTAAACTCCATTCGAGCTGCGAAATCCTGAGGACGAAGGCCTTGATGCAAGCATAGGTGACATGGATGGTACCTACGCTTGTCAATAATCCTTTGGACAGAAGTTCTGCATATATCAGTTTGTGCTCCAATTTGCCGTGCACTTAAATGGGGATTTTCCTGCAACTTTAATAGAACCTCCAGCTATTCGCCTCCTTGGTGACACTGGGATCATTTATACATTTTTTACTTTATTCTACTGCTCCACTTGATTCAAAACGTTCTCGTAATGTGGAAAATGTTTCCGGCCTTGGATGTCGCATATTAGCGTACCGTTGCATATAAATGCGAGATGCTAGGAAACTATCTCTTTGGGCTTCGCCCAAAACGAACACCATATTCACCATTTCTTCTTAAGGAAAATTCATTTTCAAACACGTTTTTATTATAATGCTCACAAAGCTAATTTTGACAGTTTGTAAGTAATCAACAATTTATTTGTTTTCAAGGATGATGCCATATTTTAGGGAATTAAGACGTTCCATAAAAGACGTGCTAATAACCGAAAATTACCCATAAAAACCCATATGTGTCTAGTATCAAAAAGCATATAAAAAATTGAATCCAAGCTTGCAAATATACAGGGTGATTTGAAATGTTTAAGAAAAATTACAGTTTGCGTTTTTGACCACCCTGTATGAGCAAAAATTAAAATTCGAAAAAGTAACAAATAAGATAAGAACTGAGGTGTGTAGGTTTTTTCCACACATGGAAAGGCCACCCTGTATATCTTTGAGTATACCGACAAATTATGCCAAGTGTACCCTTTTGACTTACAAATACTCAAGCTTTCGACAGACTATCCCGCCATTATCAGGAGTGCATCAATGACGTTGTTTGATGTTGTAAAATGTAATTGAGAACCCATAGCAAGGTGATCAAAAACTGGATTTACGCGGATCCTTTTTTGCAAACGGAACATGATTATGTTTTAGTGATAAAATACAGACGAATTGGGAGAAACAATATTGATTGAACAAATTTTTTAAAAAACTTCACATCTTTGAATAACCTAGAATTATTAGCGTGGTCGAGAGGTTAGGATTTATGTCTGATTCGGTTGTATAAGACATCTCTTTATGAAGAATCAGCTCCAATATATATAATTCTGTGCAATTTCAATATTTATTCATGTTAATATACCGTTAAACAAAATAGAGTGGACAAGAGCATGGTATAGAATACATAATGTTTTTTGTCTAAAAATTTCGAAAATACTTGAATTTTGAGATGAGACATCTCAGTCTTTTCACCAAATTTTCCGGATGATAATTCGAATTTAAGTGTTTGTTTAATATTATACCTAAATATTTAATTTTACCAATGGATTTCTGTATATGTAATCGTTTTTTGTTCGAAATTTGACCTTACTAAAATTTGGAGACATTCTTTCGTCAAATGAAAATCCTATGAAGCACGGTTTTTGTAGCTGGTGGTCATTGTTCTCTGTGAGAAAAGTGTTATGATAGTAGTTCAGTCGTTTTCAATTTTGGTTTTCAAGGTGCACCAATAATTATTCATATAAAAACTTACTGTATCATCAGCAAATCCGATCACTTTACTTTCTTTATTCAGATTAAAAAGATCATTAATATATAAGTTGAATAGTATAGGTACTAATATCGTACCTTACGGTACCCCGGTACCCCGTGCATCACTATATGTTGTTCGCTTAAAGAATAATTGTTTATTTCAACACATTGTTTTCCATTCGACAGATGACTTTCGATAAGCTTGCACGTTGTCCCTCGGAATCTAGAGTGGTTAGAAAAGATTTATGGCTGGTCGTATCAAATGTTTTGGCTAGAGCTAGATCAATAAAAAATACGGATAGTTGACTTATTAATATCGATATTTTTATAAATTTTTTGGTCAATTGTTTAATAGCATCTTGTGCAGATTTATCTTCTTACCTTATGTTACTTTCAAGTTCAATATCATTGGGCCATTTTTTCATATCGTTATACCCGTATAACTCATATTTCTTATTGCTGAACGTTAAAATTCCTTATGATAACCATGATTGTCTTCTTAATTGGATGCGTGGAATTTCTATAATAATGGTACCTTCATTTATATATATTTCTATAGTGGAAATAAAAATGTGAAAAGCGCTTTCCGGATTGGATTCAATGTATTGTAACAAGAATGATGGCGCCATCTGTTGGGGATCGCGCCAGACTCTCCTACTCGCCAGAGCTTCATAGCCG